GGTACTGATATGCATCAGAGAGACAGTGATATATCCACAACATCAGTAAGTGACGGTTCCTTATCTGAGTTAATACAACAGTATGTTTCAGGCTTCGACCAAGCACAGAGCAAGCATCCTTGGTTGATTTTATTACTGAACCAGTGCAATATACCTGTTTGTGATGCTGCATATATTGATTGTGCTCAGAGATGCAAGTGCCTGCCTTCCCCAAGCGTGTCACTTGGTCAAGCTATTGCCTCCAAGCTTGCTGAAGGCAAACGAGCTGGCTACATTGCTGATATCGCTTCCTTCCCAACATTTGGCCGTGATGAGCTGTTCACCCTTTTGGCTAATGATTTCTCTTCTAGTGGTTCAAGATATCAAGCATATGAACTTGAAGTACTAAGTTCACTTCCTATATTTAAGACTGTCACTGGGTCTTATATGGATTTGCAAAGGCACGGTTTGTGTATAATCTCTGGAGATTCCTTCCTTAAACCATATGATGAATGTTGCTTTTGCTATTTACCAGATTCAGTTGAATGTCACTTTCTCCAAGCCCTTGGGGTCACTGTGTTGCATAATCATCAGACTTTAGTAAGGTATGGGTTAGCTGGGTTTGAAAGTAGATCTCAATCTGAACAAGAAGACATACTAATTTATGTATACGGAAATTGGCTGGATTTAGAGGCTGATTCTACTGTGATTGAAGCTCTTAGGGAGGCGAAATTTGTCAGAAATTCTGATGAATTTTCCTCTGAGCTGTCTAAACCGAAGGACTTGTTTGATCCTTCTGATACATTACTATTGTCGGTCTTTTTTGGTGAAAGAAAACTATTTCCTGGAGAAAGATTTTCATCAGAAGGCTGGCTTCGCATTCTACGAAAAGCTGGCCTTCGAACTGCAGCGGAAGCCGATGTCATACTTGAATGTGCCAAAAGGGTGGAATTTCTGGGTAACGAGCGTAATAGAGCTTCTGAAGAAGATGATTTTGAAACAGATCTTGTATATTCTGAGAAGGATATTTCTGTTGAGTTATCAACATTAGCAGGATCTGTAATTGAAGCTATATTTTTAAACTTTGCTGGTTTTTACAGCACTGCATTCTGCAACACTCTTGGTCAGATTGCTTGCGTACCTGCTGAATCAGGGTTCCCAAGTCTTGGTGGCAGAAAAGGTGGCAAAAGAGTCCTTACACGTTACAGCGAAGCTGTTCTTTTACGGGACTGGCCCCTTGCTTGGAGCTCTGTTCCTATTCTTTCAACTCAGAGATTCATTCCACCTGAATTTTCATGGACAGCATTACGGCTAAAAAGTCCTCCAATTTTCTCGACTGTTCTTAAACACTTACAGGTAAGGTCACTCTTCTTCTCTCTTTGATTATGTGTGTACCCTTGTCATGGACATGAGAAGAAAAAGGCCTGATCATATATTCCCAGGTAATTGGACGGAATGGTGGTGAAGACACTCTTGCTCACTGGCCCAATGATCCAAATGTGATGACCATTGATGTTACTTCTTGTGAAGTTTTGAAGTACCTGGAAAAGGTTTGGGGCTCTCTCACTTCTTCAGGTATGTATACTACACTTAATTTATATTACCAATAGAAAAGTGTAATCGACATTATAGCTTTTGCAGCTGTAAATTCCTAATCTGGCAGACGATCTAAATTTTAATTACAAAATATCTGGGAAAGAACAAAGAGCCTATTAAGTTTTAACCAATAGGTGGTGTGAACAAATGCAGTAGTAATAGTAAAAATAGTTCTCCATTGTTTGTGGTCCAGCCTTGCAAGCCGCAATAATGAATTGCTCTGGACAACAACAATGTATTTCATCATGAAATACCAGAACCAGCAAAAATTGGATTTATGTTTGCTGATGCATAGAATATTGGATATTTATGATAATATGACTGCCGTAAGAGTTTTCTATTATTATTTTGAAATCTGTGATGGTATTTTTTACCCGGCTTTGTAATTTCTATCATCCAGATATTTTGGAGTTGCAAAAGGTAGCCTTTTTACCAGCTGCAAATGGGACACGCTTGGTGGGAGCAGGCTCCCTTTTTGTTCGCCTACCAATCAACCTATCACCTTTTGCATTTGAACTTCCTAGTCTCTATCTACCTTTTCTGAAGATCCTTAAAGATTTGGGACTTAACGATGTGCTTTCAGTTGGTGCTGCAAAGGATATCCTCTCCAAATTACAAAAAGCATGTGGTTATCGGCGTTTGAACCCGAATGAGCTTCGCGCTGTGATGGAAGTTCTTCATTTTCTCTGCGATGAAATAAATAAGACAAAGCCACCTGAAATAAATACTATCAAACTAGATGTGATTGTCCCAGACGATGGCTGCAGGCTTGTTCACGCACGATCTTGTGTGTATGTCGATTCCTTTGGGTCACGCTATGTGAAATACATAGACACTGCAAGGTTAAGACTTGTTCATCCACATCTTCCGGAGAGGATCTGTCTAGATTTGGGTGTGACAAAGCTTTCTGATGTTGTTATTGAGGTATGCATGGCATCAGTTTCTTTTGATCTTGTCTTTCTTTTTGTTATATTTATGTGTGAAACAATCTCAAAATAATTGCTTCTTTACCTAGGAACTTGAAAACGCTGAACATATTCAAACCTTGGACAACATAGGATTTATATCACTCAAGGCTATCAGAAGGAAGTTGCAGAGCGAGTCGTTTCAAGCTGCTTTATGGACTGTGAGCCGTCAGACCACCACTGTGGATGACTTGACTTTTGAGGTTATGCAACATTCTCTACAATCTGCGTCAGAGAAAATTGGTTTTGTCAGAAATATATATACTCGATTTCTTCTCCTGCCAAATTCCGTAGACGTTACCCTCGTGTGTAAGGAATCCATGATTCCTGAATGGGAGAATGAATCGCATCATCGAACAATGTATTTTATCAATCATCACAGAACGTCTATCCTAGTTTCTGAACCGCCTGGATACATTTCTTTCCTGGATGTCATGGCAACAGTGGTGAGCGAGGTTTTAGGCTTTCCAACTTCCCTGCCTATTGGATCTTTATTTTCATGTCCTGAGGGATCTGAAACTGAAATTGCCGCTTGCCTGAGACTATGCTCTTATTCTCTTACTCACACTGGCACAGCTGATAGTTCTATTGGCCAAGAGATAATGCCACAAGATGCTGTACAAGTACAGCTTCACCCTTTGAGACCATTCTTCAAAGGGGAGATCGTTGCTTGGAAAATCCAACAAGGAGACAAGCTGAGATACGGAAGAGTCCCAGAAGATGTTAGACCTTCGGCTGGTCAGGCCCTTTACAGGTTAAAGGTTGAAATGACACCTGGAGAGACTGGTTTATTACTTTCATCTCAAGTTTTCTCCTTCCGAGGCACGTCAATCGAAAATGAAGGTCCTTCGATTTTGCCTGAGGTACTCCCCGCAGTATCTGATAACAAATCTCAAGAAACTTCAGAAAGTTCCAGAACTAACAAAACAAGTTCTAGCCAGGTTTGTTACATTTCTCGTGAATCGTTGGATTTAATCATACATGCTTGCTTTTCGCCCCAATATTTGTATTACCTATAATCTATGTGATTCTAAGAGACAAATGGATATACTGTTTTCTTCAAAATATTTATCATCTTGTGATAGTTTGATCTTGAATCGTGTTCTGGGGATGATTGATTGGATTTGTTCTTTGTGACCTGCAGCCTGTGAATGAAATGCAGTATGGTCGAGTCACAGCGAAAGAATTGGTCGAGGCAGTGCACGAGATGCTCTCTGCAGCTGGAATCAACATGGAACTGGAGAATCAATCTCTACTACTAAGAACCATAACTCTTCAAGAAGAACTCAAGGACTCTAAAGTTGCATTCTTACTTGAGCAGGTTCGATATACAATCAAATCCTTTATACTTAGAAAACACAAATTATGACCATAATGACGATTAGCAACACATTTATGTCTCTGATTTTCTTGCAGGAGAGAGCAGAGGCTTCCATGAAGGAAGCAGAGACGGCGAAATCACAATGGCTGTGTCAGATATGTCAGATGAAGGAGGTGGAGATTACTATTGTACCATGCGGACATGTCTTGTGTCGGGATTGTTCAACTTCAGTCTCTAGATGTCCCTTTTGTCGTCTTCAAGTCAATAGAACCATCCGAATCTTCCGACCGTAACTAACACCAAATCAAATATTAATTACCCAATTATCAAAGGTTTTGTCCTCTATTCAACCTGTAATTCATTTGTAAATACGTATAGGTATGTTTTCACTTTGTATCTTTTAAGTTAAGAAAATATTATTTTAAGCAGCTATTAGTCTATCATTTTTAAGTAGTTTTTCCCAAAAAAAAATTTTGTCACAAGTGTGGTAATTTATATTGAAGCCAAAACGGAGCCATTACAAAAGTTAACAAATGGCTTACTGTAGAAACTATAACAGAACTATGAAAGGGAAGAGTGATAATCCTTTCACTATTCTAAAACAGAACCCAAGTAGTTTTTCCCATTAAAAGTGAGGAAAAAAGTTACGTGCAAAACCTCAAAACGTCTTACATTTTGAAACGGATGGGGTATATATTAGTGAAATATTAAATAAAATGATAAATTTAATCAGTATCTTTTGTACAATTATATTATTAATTTAGTGTGTTTGTAAAATATTGGCTTGTATCACTTGGCTTGTATCACTTGGCTTTTGTATTATAAATAAAATACACTTGTGACAAAAAAAAAAAAAAAAAAAAAAAAAATTTGGCAACCTTATATATTTGATCGTAAATCCTAAAATAGTAAATTATTTCAAACTATTTTCTGGATTTATAAAACTGTTCATTGGAGACTTTGGGGTCATATCTAATCGACACTTTGTTTTCTTTCTTTTGCTTCGTATGATTTGTCTAAAAACTTAGAAGTTAGAACTATCAGATTAAAATTTGATTGTTAGTAGCATATTTGACCAATAATAAAACGACACGTGTACACTACGTAGACGTTAGATAACCACAGCAAAAGGATATGTATTCTCGAGGCGGGAGAGAGAGAAAGAAGAGAGGGAGAGATATCGAACATCAATGGCGTCTCTGCAACTCTGCGACGGTTATCTTCTCTTCAAGCCCTCTGTTTCTCCTCAACGCATCTCTCACCGCCTCATCCCTAAAGCCTCCGCTTCACCGTCTTCTTCTTCTTCCTCCTTATCTTTCAGTCGGCGGGAGCTTTTATACCAATCGGCGGCTGTATCACTCTCCATTGTTGGACCAGTAAAAGAAGCAAAAGCTGATGAACAGTTATCTGAATGGGAAAGAGTGTTTCTCCCAATCGATCCCGGTGTTGTTCTTCTCGACATTGCTTTCGTCCCCGACGAACCTAGCCGCGGTAACTTCCTCTTTCTTCAATTTTCTGTTCTCAATTTCGGAAGTGTTCACGTACTGATTCTGCTTATCAATTAGGGTTTTTACTGGGAACGAGACAGACTCTATTAGAGACTAAAGACGGTGGAAACACTTGGAATCCACGCTCGATTCCCTCAGCTGAAGAGGAAGATTTCAATTATAGATTCAATTCGATTAGCTTTAAAGGCAAACAAGGATGGATTATTGGCAAGCCTGCAATTTTGTTGTACACTGCTGATGCTGGAGACAATTGGGATCGGATTCCTCTAAGTTCTCAGCTTCCTGGAGATATGGTATTATATAGCTTGTTTCCTCTGGTGTTTTCAGAGAGTATGGCTTTCTATTGCTAGTTTTTTGTTTATGAGAGAATGTTGTTGAGCTCTTTGTTACCATGTTGTTGTAGGTGTTTATAAAAGCGACAGGAGATAAGAGCGCAGAGATGGTTACTGATGAAGGTGCTATCTATGTTACTTCAAACAAAGGATATAACTGGAAAGCTGCTATTCAGGAAACTGTTTCAGCTACCTTGAACAGGTTCGGTTCATTACCCTCTCTTTGGTTTATCATAGGGAATTGGCGGCATCATCTTTCCTGTCCACATTTAATAGAGATCAAAGAGTAGATCCTAATTCAGTATTTTCCAATGGTTTTGCAGAACGGTATCTAGTGGAATCAGTGGTGCTAGTTACTACACGGGAACCTTCAGTGCCGTTAATCGTTCACCTGACGGAAGATATGTCGCTGTTTCGAGCCGTGGTAACTTCTTTCTGACATGGGAGCCTGGGCAGGTGAGCATCAATTAAGGCTATGTCAGCATTTACTCATTTGGTCTGATGCTAAACTTTTAGTTAGTTTCACACATAGCTATCATTTGGGCTGCCTCAGTCAGTTTTCTTATGGCTGATTTCATTTTAAGTTGATTAATTAGCACCAACGAGATAAAATTTAAAGAAGAGTATATAACTCGTAACAAATAATCCGCCGACCTGATTCATGATCTAAGTACTACTGCTAAGTGTCAAGTGATGTGTCTCTGTAAACGATATCATGTGTCTTACAAGGGAGAATTAGTCCCTCTTTTTTTCTTTTATATTCTTGTGTGTGGTTTGGTTGCTCTTATCATTCACCATAGTATTTTTACATTTCAGCCTTACTGGCAACCACACAATAGAGCTGTTGCCCGAAGAATTCAGAATATGGGATGGAGAGCTGATGGTGGTCTGTGGCTTCTTGTTCGTGGTGGAGGACTTTATCTTAGCAAAGGCACTGGGGTAAGTACTGCAACAAGACTCTCCTCACTTTTTCCCTTTTTGCAGTTTTATTTCCTCAACATTTCCTTTTCTTCTCTTACCAACAAAACTCGTTTTGACATTTACTTGCGAGTTTTATGGTTTATGTCACTTAGAGGATGAAACCAAAACCAGCCATGAACTAAGAAACACATTTTTCTTTAGTTATCTGATTTTCTCTGGACCGAAAACAAGGAAATAAAACACTGTTTAGTCTGTTTCCTTGTGATTTGAATTCTCTTCAAGTGTTCCAACTTCTAACTACATCTGACTCTGATCTCCACTGTATAATTGCTCAGATCACAGAGGATTTTGAAGAAGTTCCAGTACAAAGCCGTGGCTTTGGCATTCTAGATGTTGGATATCGCTCAGAGGTAGATGAGTTTCGGCGATGATCACTCAAAAACTCTGAATCTGCTCCGATCTTTACACCATTTTCTTTGTTTGGTTATTGCAGGAAGAAGCATGGGCAGCAGGAGGCAGTGGCATACTACTGAGAACAAGAAATGGAGGCAAATCATGGAACCGTGACAAAGCTGCTGATAATATCGCAGCTAACCTCTACGCAGTCAAGTAAGTCTCAGAATCAAACATTGAAACACAGTCCTTCAATAACATCATTGTTCCTCACCCATCTCATCTCAAACCAAACATCAAAATCAGATTCCAAATTCATTTTTTGTTTTGCAGATTCGTGGATGACAAGAAAGGATTTGTGCTTGGCAACGATGGAGTCTTGCTCCGATACGTTGGATGAAAAGAGTGGCAATAAAGAAAAAAAGGTTAAAATTGAAATGGTTTTGTTTCAATCCTTCTCTGCGTTTTGATACTACATTACACTATTATTGTATACATTCCCCTTCACAAAATATATATAATTTTGTGTTTTTTTCTGAAAAGCTTTGTTTCTCACTGTAGTTGGAGTTGGATTTTATCTCATCTGTTTATAAACTATTTTCAGCCAAGATATTGTTTAGGCAACCAAAAAAGATGACAAAAAATCTTCAACATTTTATAATTAACATCACAATTCATAAGAGAAACATTTATTTAATGGTAAATGTTATTTCATCAAAAAGTTTTGAATGGTCACGGCGGTTGAAGTGGACAAATCCGTTTGTGAATTAGACTACTTTTTATTTACCATTCATAAATTATAGTTAGTAATAGTGCACACCAAAAAAGATAGAAGAAATCTGTCATAGACAACTACAAAGTACTTTTACATAGAAATAAGTTTGGTTCGCAGGGGATCGTTATCTGTCCTATAAAAAGTGGTGTAGTTCGCAATTCTTTTTCTTTTGTGTGTGAATAATCTTTTCTTTTTTTTTCTCTGGTTATGGATAATGCTGTAACGCGGTTTTTGTTTTGAATATTTATAATAATTAATTATAATTATTCTTCGTTTATTAAAAAATAAAAAATATATAATTTTGTGTCGTTGGCCGGTGGCGACGAGAGGGAGAAGAGATCTCTCGTTCGTTTTCCCCGGAAACTCCGGCGAGAAAAGTTACATCGAACCTAGGAGAAAATTCGTTCCCTTCCACTCCACCAGTTTTCACCTCTCTTCTTCAATCTCTCATCGTCTCTTCCTCGTTTCTCGTTTTCGCTTTTTCCCCTTTCCTCTTCGATTTTACTGGAATCCGAGAATTTTTGATCAGATCTAGTTTCAGAAATAGGTTAGAAATTTGTATAGAGCAATGCTTACTGATCGAGGGAGAAGGATTTCTGGTTGCAATGTGAGTTTTGAATTCCGTGGTGATTATGGTTACGGATTCGTAGATCGATCTCAAGGTTGCCATGAAAGGAGTCCTTCAAGATCATTGTCTGTTTCGAAAATCCTACGTATCACATCACCGACCTTGTCTCCACCGTCATCGTCTTCTACCGGCGCTGGTTATATCGAACACCGGGTTTCCAAGTTCGATACTCTCGCCGGCATTGCCATAAAGTATGGCGTGGAGGTATTGTAGTATCTTTTTCTTTTTACTGGAGATTTTTTGAATTTAAGCTTGCCATGATTGTTAATGTGATGGTATCTAGTGGTAAAGGTGTAATTGAAAGCCATAGAGAAATATCATAAAGGTGCTTCTTTTATACAAAAATCATATGGAGTACTTTTGACTTCAGAAGTTAGAAACAAAGCATTTCTCATCTCGTGACACTCACTATCCCAATTTTTTTAGTTGTTTATGCTTTTGAGTTTTGATGCTGGATTAGTTTTTTTTTTTTTTTTTCCCTTGTGTCCTTAAAAAAGTGCTATTTCAGGTTGCAGATATCACGAAGCTGAATGGGCTTGTTACTGATCTTCAGATGTTTGCTCTTAAGTCTCTCCGGATACCATTACCTGGAAGACATCCTCCTTCTCCTTGCTTATCTAACGGCTCCCTAAATCATGGGTACTTTTAACCTCTTGATCATCTCTTCTTAGATTACAAGGCTGTAGTCTGTGACTTTGATTTTTATCTTCAGTGATGGGTTCATTCATATGTTACTTGAGTTGTGCTATTGTGCATCTCCCAAGTTCATTCAAAGAAACATAGACCAGGTTATAGAAAGAAGTTTCCATAAGATTAGGAAAATGCTTAGTGAGAGTTGTTTATGCTGGACAATGCTTAAGGGAGACATGATAGAAAACCAAGTGGGTACAACTGGTCCTTGTAAAAGAGCAGTTTTGACGTTTCAAATTCTGTTTTCCTGCACAACCAAAACTACTATTGGAAACTCGAAAGTTTCTATCTGCGCCAAAGTTTGTGCATAATGGGCTATGAACTTTAGGTTTCTTGATTAGTGCATACAACCTACGTCGTAGAAAATTTTCACCTCAATATAAGGTTGAGGAGCAGAACGCAGGTAAGGGAATGAGTAATGATGCCGAGAATTGAGACAGTTAAGCTTGAATGATCATGATGGTAGTCTAGTGATTTGCATTAACAGGCATACACATATCGAAGTAATCCTATCCCCATGACTGATCTATGAAATCTTCTTGCAGAGAGGATTGTTCCGAGCAAGCTTCATCATCGGAAAGCAATGGCAACCACCAAGACGTATTTGACTCCTTTCAGTCTTTGAGGCTGAAGCCTTCAGAAAAGAAGATTTCTTCAGCCATGAACTCCTTGCAAGGTTATTATGGACTGAAACCAAAAACCAGAAGAGCTTCCGAAGGTTTTGAGATGGCAGTCTACAAGAACGAAGCTTCTCATCTCCAACACGATGGTCAGTACCTCACTCCCTACCCAGCCACCAATACTCCCTTAAGCCACCACAGAAAATCAAGAAGCTTGGTCGATGCAGTTATCGCTGAGGTCAACCAATCACCCAACCCTTCAAAAGCAGGAGGAGGAGAAGTGAATTCTGACAAGCCAATGAGAAGACGCCAAAAATCTGAAGCCGATTTTAGTTCACGAGCTCCAGAATTGCTGTTGAAGGAAGAGAACAGAAGCAGCAATGGCGCGTTTTCTGCAATAGCTGGGAAAAATTTAGCACTGAGATCCAAAGCATCAGGCAGAGCTAATGTTTCAACAGATACTGAGAACGGTAATGTCAATTCCATACCAATCAGTTTGATGGATGCTCCTGTGGGAGTGGGAGACAGCTTCTCAAGCGTGAGGAAATCGTTTAGCGCATCTAGTCTGCAAGAATCGGATTGCACCAGCAACGGTTCATCGCTATGGTCAACCTCGAAGTGGACCCTGAAACCTGATTTGCTCACACAAGCAGCCATGGCGAGTTCTATTTTTGACGGATTGCCTAAGCCTTTAACAGGTCGGAGAAACAAAAAAGCTGTGGACTAAGGACTAAGGTTAGTTAGGTTACATCCGTCTCGTTCTTTTGGTTTTTGTAATCCAAAAGCAAGAAGTCGATGGCTATAAGATTGGGGAGTAAATAGAAGTAAAAAGTGTATTATTGCATTTCATTTCATTTCATTTCATTTATTAAAAACAATAAGTCAAACAGGTAGTGAGTCAAATTAGGCATTAAGGTTTTGGTGAATCTAATTTGTATGTTAGATGATAATGGAATCTCAGAATATTCAATCTATTTATTTACAATTTGGTTAAGATTTTAGCTGTGTATGAAATTTGCAAAATAAGCAGAAAAATACAAAAAATTTGTTTTATTTTAATATATTATTAATTTTTCTTTTTGTTTATGTTAAATTCAAAATTGCTAATGTAACAGCTGAAAATAATTGCTGTCTAACTAATTTTCCAATAAACAAAAGAAAAACAAATGTTGACAGAAAAAAAAAGGAATCGAAGAAAATAGAAAAAAAAAAAAAAAAAAAGAGAGAGTACTAATAATAAAAATCTGAAATCCCTAAGCTCTCGAGTCGAGTTTTCATTTCTCGAGCAATTCACTCTTTCCCAGAACAACCCTAGATTCCGATGATGAGGGGTCTTGTTTCCGGCGCCAAGAGGCTATCAGCCCCATCGTCGAGCATCGCCACTGCTAGAAGAAGCTACAGTCTGATTCCGATGGTTATTGAGCACTCATCGCGAGGAGAGAGAGCTTACGACATCTTCTCTCGATTGCTTAAGGAGCGTATTATCTGCATCAATGGTCCCATTAATGACGATACGTCTCACGTCGTCGTCGCTCAGCTTCTTTACCTCGAGTCTGAGAATCCTTCCAAGCCGATCCATATGTATCTCAATTCACCTGGCGGCCATGTCACCGCCGGTACGCTTCCGCTTTCCATTTCTTAACTTTTTGTATGTTTAGCTTCGTCAAAATTCGTAGTGGTTGATTGGGATCAGATCGCTATATACCTTTCTTTCTTAGTTGGTGCTTGGTATAAGAGATTAATATTGTTCGTTGATAGTTGTTCCTCTGTGGATTTGGGTATATATCTGTGGTTAGTGACTTGATTCCTGCAATGAGGCTGCTGAAATGTGTGTCAACCACTAGTAATTGCTGGTAATTTTAGTGTTCAGTCTCGGGAGTGCTGGTTTGTGACGAGTTAACACTTTCTCAATCTAAAATATTGTTTCTCATGTGTCTTGTGAGTCGGTGACCCATTTTTTCTTATCTTTGTCTTTGATACAGGCCTTGCAATATATGATACTATGCAGTATATTCGTTCTCCGATAAGCACAATTTGTTTAGGTCAGGCTGCATCAATGGCTTCTCTACTCTTGGCAGCGGGTGCCAAGGGGCAAAGGCGGTCGCTTCCAAATGCAACTGTTATGATTCATCAGCCTTCGGGAGGATATAGCGGACAGGCTAAGGATATAACGATTCATACAAAACAGATTGTTCGTGTGTGGGATGCGTTAAATGAACTGTATGTCAAACATACGGGTCAACCTCTTGACGTGGTTGCTAATAACATGGATAGGGATCATTTCATGACTCCTGAAGAGGCTAAGGCGTTTGGAATAATCGATGAAGTAATTGATGAAAGACCGTTGGAGTTGGTGAAAGATGCTGTTGGGAATGAAAGCAAAGATAAGAGTTCAAGTTAGGAAGTAACTGGTAATCAAAGTAATAAATTTTCTTCTTTCCTTTTCCAGTTTTGCTTTGCTCCCGTTAGATTACTTTTTCTGTGGATGAAGTTATGCTCTGAGGGCATGATCTCTCAAACTGTTTTTATTCTTTCACAAATCGATCATGACTATATTTCAGAACTCTTTTCCTTGCATGTTTACCCAGTCCGGTATCTGATTTAGTCAAATGAATAATTGGATAAAGAGTGGCTTTGGGTCTTAATCTCATGTGCCGCCTGATGCAACCCATATATTTGATTAATGCACATTCTTTGGAACTGATTAGAAAGTTGAGAATGATGAGATTGTTGTCTAGGTTGAGAAATCCCAGTCCTAGTTGATTTGCTTATGTTAGATGATGTGGTTTGCTGTTCTTTATGCCCTTGATCAATATTCTTCGGTTTCATGTTTTCGCTTACTTTGATATGTTCTCTACCTCATCATGTCAAAGCCACATCTATTCTGATTTGCCTTTTTATGTATAGATGAAGTTAGAACACCATCATTTTCTTGTGATAACACTGGTCTTTGATTATGCTCTTGGAAAATTAGGGACAGAATCTTACGATCTTTATGACAAGTCTCATACTATCTGTAAGGATGGGTCTTCTTGTTGTTGAGCTGAGCTTTTCAATAACCAGTGTTTGCTTCTGTTGCTCTTGAGTTATTTTTTGGACAATTTTAACTCTCATAAAACGTTTTAAACACAAGCAGAATTATAATGTTTATCTTATAGTTTTCATTTAAATATGGTTTTATGTATTGGTTCTCTAATGGGGAAAAATGGAAAACTTATATAATTGGTTAATATGATTTGTTTTATTTATTTTAAATGGAAACGTGTAGGGAAGTGTAGACAAGAAAAGAGGATAGTATAATTTACCTGTATGACCAATGTCTTAAATATATTTGGTTAAGACTTAGGATTAGTGAGATTTTTTTATTTTTATTTTTAGTGAGATTAAACTAAAAGCAAAATAAATTGGAAAATACGGAAAAATTTTGTTCGATCGATTCCGATCTCTCTCCTTCGTAAAAAGGAAACAGAAAGGGGAAAAAACGCCGACAACAGTAACCAAAAGTTCTCAAAACAAAAACTCTTTCGAAGTTTTCACCTTTCTGCCCTAAGCCCATCGTCTCTCTATCCCTCGCGACCGCCTCAATCTTTCTCTCTCCCTCTCTCTGTCTGGATCAATCTCGCTCTTTCTCTCTCGCTCCGTCTCTGTTGCTCGTTACGTGATCCGTAGCTGTCTCCGCTACTACCTCAATCAGCGAGCTTCGTCCGGTGGAATTATCTTCGGATAGGAATCGGAGGATTCTAATTGGGTCTCTGGGTTGGTTTGGATTACGTAATTCGGTTGGGTGTTCCTATTTGGCGTTCAAAATTAGGGTTTATAGAGGTCTCGCCTATGGCTCCTGGGCGTAAAAGAGGAGCGAGCAAGGCCAAGACCAAAGGGCAGTTGATTCTCGGTGATCTGGTTCTTGCCAAAGTCAAAGGCTTCCCTGCTTGGCCTGCCAAGGTGCGTTATCATTCCTCAATTTGGGTTTTATTTTTCTTCACAGATTCTTCTTGTTTTTGCTTCTTCTCCAATTCATTCTTTTATATACTTCTTAAGCCCATATTCATCTTTAACTTGTTGGGTCTTCAGTTATTAATTGTTAGGAATTCTAGAATTTGATGATGGGATACTTTCACTTTGTGGATTTTTTTTGGTTATTTTGTTGCGTAGCCAGTGATTTGTAGTTGAAATTCCATAGGTTGATGAGCTCTAGTGTGTTGTCTTTCTTTTGTTGTGCGTCTTACCATACTAGGCTTCATAATTAGGCTGGTTTGCGATTTAGCTACACTAAAGTTGTTTTAGATTGAGTCGGATTTAAAGTCAGTTTAATCATCTATCGGTCGGATTCCATGGTTGAATTATGTAAATAATAAGCGTCAGAATCTCTCTAAATCAATTCTCTTTAGTTAGTCTCTCTTGTGAAGTACTTTGGTTTTGAGTTTCAGATCAGCCGGCCTGAAGATTGGGATCGTGCGCCAGACCCAAAGAAGTACTTTGTTCAGTTCTTTGGAACAGAGGAAATGTAAGCAATTCGTGTTATTCACTCCTCTTATATGCATATCCATGTTATTCTTAAATTCCGGTACCTTCTTATCCAGAAAGGTATATGAACTTTAGTCAATATATCATGTTGCTAGATATTAGGCATTAGACCTCGGTTATCAGGTGTTTTCTTACCCTGATTAAAACTTCACCTTTTCCACGCCATGTCACCATATGTTTTTTTCTTTTTCAGATGACAATATCTTTGGAGTTGATTTTGTGTTTTACATACTGATCATTGACGAAGTTATCTTCCTTTACTGCAGAGCTTTTGTTGCGCCGCCTGATATCCAAGCCTTCACTAGTGAGGCAAAGAGCAAACTATTAGCAAGATGTCAAGGTAAAACAGTCAAGTACTTTGCACAAGCTGTAGAGCAAATTTGCACTGCATTTGAAGAGTTGCAGAATCACAAGTCAAATGTTTCGGGCGATGAGGATCCTCTGGATGCTGCTGAACCTGGTTTGACAAAGGCTGAGATAGTGGATGGAACAGATCATATTGTCATCGAGTCTGATGGAACTAATAACTTTGATTCTAGGGTGGATCCTTGCTTCCCTAAGAATATTGGTGAAGAGACAAAGGCTGAGATAGGGAAGCTAGATTCATCTCCATTTCTGGAATCAAAGATCACAACCACATTCTCTGGTAGCGAGTCACTGGAGCATGGTTCATATGACCCTAGATTAAAGGAAGGAGATTTTGATAAAGGAACTGACGGTAGTGCTTGCATTGAACATTTTGGTAATGGCCAAAAGAAGCTGTCCAACGGTAAGAGAATTAAGAAGGAAGCTGGTGGCTCTGATATTAAAGGTGAAGATACAGTTCATAGAGACAGAAGCAATAACTCACATGTGCCCGGTGGTCGAACTGCCAGTGGTAACTCTGATTCCAAAAAGTTGAAAGGTCTGTTGACAGAGAAATCTAGCTCCAAAGTGTCTGCTGGCAAGCATGAAAATTCACCTGGCTTCAAGGGTGGGGTTTCCGGAAAGAAAAGGAGGCTTGAAAGTGAACTAGGAAAGGTTGCACCAAGAGTAGATGAAAGTTCACGAGCTGCTAAAAAGCCGCGATGTGAAAGTGCAGCAGACAAGAAAGAAAAGTGTGAAATTGATGATGGATCTGATTCTACTGGGACTGTATCAGATATTAAGCGTGAAATTGTTTTAGGATTAAGTGCTCGCGGTGGAAATTTACAATATGATAAAGAAGTAGTTGCATATACAAAGCGCCGGAGACAAACAATGGAGCATGCCATCTCTTCTTCTTTTTCTGGGTCTCGTGATAAATCCGGGAAAGGTCATCTGGAACAGAAAGACCGTTCCTCTCCTGTTAGTAATGTTAAGGCTCCAGCTGCACAGTCGCTGAAAAAACGTAGGGCTGTTTGTATCTATGACGAAGATGATGATGAAGATCCAAAAACTCCATTACATGGCAGACCAGCCATTGTTCCCAAAGCAGCATCAGTTTTGGCTGGTGGTC